GCCAGTTTGAGATACAGTAGCATATCATAATGGTGCATTTAAATGGAGAAAGCAGCTGACCTTGCGATAACATCGTTAAGTGTTTCGTAATAGTTTGGGTACTGGATCGATGTTTTATAGTACTTGTCAAATGTATGGGTAAAGTTTGGTTCTATTTTTTGAATAACGAATACGCGTTTCGGTAATACGTGAACTAAACTAACACTAAATTTTGACCTATTTTTTAAGTACCATCTTTTTTACTCTTTGAATTCTCTGTTTGTTAGTATATCTTGTAAGTATGTCATGTTAAGGCTAATAAATTTTGTATAGATTATAAATACGGTTTACCATTTTAATATAACGATTTATTTATCATTAACAATTACCCTTTTATACTTATATACATACCCCAACACAAGAGATAGCAAGAAACTATTAGTTCATATAAAGACAGATATAGACAAGATACCAACTAAATAGGTAATAATAGGTATATTTTTTACGGCACGATCTTTCGGATGCTTAGCAACAGCTGTCAGGAGGGTTTCAAAGTATTATAAAAGTCTACAACATATTTTGGGTTTATAACCGTTAAAACTATTATTTCATAGATTAAAGTTAGAATTCTGCTACGGTAGCAGATTATTCGCATCGTGTTATTAATATAGCTATCTGTTTTTGGCTTGGAGATTTCTGCAGAGGACTGAAATAATTATTTCACTGCAAAAATTGTACTTTCGTCCTCTCTCAACCAGTTAGTGAGTGCGTTGCCCCTAGTACATTACTACCAAAATTTTACATCGAACGTCTGTCCCTATCACTCATATATAAAAAAGTTGAAGTGAGAGGGAGTCAAGAGATGAAATAATTTGTTTAGGCATTGCCAAATTGGTCTCTTACTGATAAAGCGATCGCAACGGCGCAGACCTTAAGGCAGGTTATGTACTAGCTGCATTAGTCACGACAAAATTGTTATACCTAGACGATTTCATCATTAATTTCAAGTAGCGACTGTTGTATGAAAATTTGTTTAATTAACATACAATATAGTTATTTTGAATGTAAACAATTACTTCGTGTTAACAATAAACCCATTTCGCAAAAAAGTAGGTAAATATAAAATATTTAAACAGAAGTTTGAAAAATCCATGATAAAATTGGGTTTTAAATACCTTCTTCGTAATTTTTTTATCAATATACTCTTGTGAGAATTATACGTTTCCAAACAAATAATCTTCCTCTTTATAAAGTATGATTCAAGAGCCAACTAGTAATTAATCGATTCTTATAGCTTTAAGTTTAATATTTATGTTTGTTTATAATAGCGCCATCTAGCGGATTTCAAGAGTAACGCCTGAAAATTTTATTTGTGCTACATTTGGTTTATGTACTGACGCATTCAACCTTACGTATACCCAAGAATATGTTATTTATAAAGTACAAACACAGTTAAATAGAGGGCAGTTAACCACATATAGGTATATCTTCCTTGTAACCATATTAAGTACAAATATAGCACATCGCTGAGACTATCGTGAGGTTTTTGGTAAGAAACCTAGAATAACGTTATAAATATATTAATTTCATTCTCTAATATTTTGTATTTTTTTATATGCTTTAATATTTCCCGTTTCAAACCGTTAATATCCATCCAAAGTATTTATTGTGTTCTACTCGCGTGAAGTACCACTGCTTACGGTTAAAATGTCTTACATAAAAACTAAACCTTGCAAATTATTATACAATACATAAATAACAAATATTTCTATGACTTGTGAGCAAGTTAGATAATAATCACTTGAAATGCTTATCATGTATAATGAATTAATGTAGGTTGGCACCGAAGCTTTTTCTTATATAAGCTTACATGATGGGGGAAATAGATACATATATTGAAGTGTCTTTCAAAAAACATACAATATATTTCAACCAAAATTTTTGGACCGTTCACTTTGGTAAACGATCTCGAACGTCCCAATACTAACTGCACATGAAAACTGGCAATTTCACGAAGTCAAAATCAATTATACTTTCAAGAAATTTTCTCATCTAAAAGCTCTTTACAAAGCGTCGAAAAGAAAGGAAAATAAATACGAAAAAAGTTAAAATGAAAAAAGATGTTCTGAAGTTAATATTCGGTCACAACAACACTCAAAGCTTTCATTCCCATTCGCTCGGAATGTTATTTACTCACACACACAGATGTAACAGAAGAATAAGTATACAAAAAGCCTTCGCAAGAATAAGCGGGACGGAGTGTGGATCTTATTTTTCTCGTGGACCTTTTCAGTCGCTCTCGGGTGGTGGATGAGTGGAGTGGAACATCCACCCCCCCACCCACTGCAATAATACTGCGTCACTATTTTGCGCCATTACCTACACTCGCTTCCTATTCTATAAGTAGCGCCAACGTCGTTCTTCGACGTTGCTATGAAAATTTCCGTGCGAGGATTATTAAAATTGTCTACAAGACAGCGCGGGAATTATACACTACGACGACATTAACTTAGTTAGGTGTATGATAAAAATAACTTCACACATGGGTTCTCTAGCTATTTTATAATTTGTTAAATTTTGCAATTTAACCGAACTTGTGGCTCTTCGCTTAAGCTTCTAGCATATTAGGTACTTGGGACACATAATAATTTAGGGCACAGGTAATTTGTTTACATATCGTACAATAAATTACTTAAATATATAAGCATATTTCTGATCTTTAAAAAAAATATCTTTCAAAACAAGCATTTACCTGTAGTTTATGCATATTTAATTAAAAACATAAAGTTTTAACCGTTAAAATCTTATTTTTAACAGCCGTGGTCACGGGGTGACGAATCTTTCAAATGACATAATCATTTAATGCCTGTAATTAAGACTGTGTGATCTTTTGTCCTTGTGAGTCCTTTATATACTACAGATAACGACAGAGGATTTAATTCGAATATTCGATTACATGCGCACGATATTATCAAACCATTATTACATGAGATTCGATTAATTTCGACGAGAATTTGTGAGGAATGCGATTAACAGGGTAACTAGTTCACAATACGACATCGACTAAATGTACTTAGAGAAATAATTTAAATTATATCTATGTTTAAATCGGTGTATTGATAATTTACAAAAGTTATTTGTATTTAAACAAAAAAAAAAACAATACTGTTGTTCCACAAATGGGATTCGAATTTACGGCCAACAGCATATCTTATTATTATCAGTAATGGCTCAGTTGGTAAAGTGAGATCACAGGTTCGAGTTAGGTATCGTGAATTTTATTAGATATACAGAAAAACAATTTTCATCGATAGAGGAATGCATACAACCATGGCAAATAAACTGTAATTGTAACTTCTCAATAATATATAATATCACTCAACTTATAAACAATAAATTATACGGGTCGAGGAATTCGATTAAGTACGTTTAATATTTGCAAAACAATATCGGAAACTGACGGCGAATGTATAAAAGCTCAAACTAGACGCAAACAATGTTAAGCTTTAATAAAACTCGATGAATAGTTATACATAAGCAGACTGGAAATGCAACTATCTGCTCCGAGGACGCCTAAACATACCGCTGCAGATATAGGCTCGGAGACAAAGTATTTACCACTCGACGAGTTTCAAACAATTAATTATATATGCTTCGAGTACATTGCTGTTTTCTCATGTGTATGTATTGGGGACCCGTTCACACAGCGCAATGTATGTTGTTCAGTACGTAATCATGATCAGGGGAGGATCCGTTAGGTTTTCAGTGTGCAGAGTTGGGTGTGAGGCGACGGTCCTTTGATTCTGGCGAGATTAAACGTGCGGCAGACGGTGGCGCCTCTATCGATTGTTGTTGTAATTACAACGCTATCCTCGCCCAGTCGCAAATGAAATTGTTCCGGGCAGAGCCTGCTATGGATGCTTGTGTGTTATTGCAGTTGCAGCCCCACAATCGCACATCTACATCTACCAGTCCAAATTGGACCGTTATCAATTTTAATTATAATTTGATTATTCACGTTTGAACATTCTTACGCTTCTTTTTTAGAGATTTGAAGAAATTTATGGGCATACAGTGGTATGATAGACTGTAGTATCTCTATTATATAAGGTTGCATAACGAGATTTTTGATTCATATAGACCGCGAAAGTTCTACAGTACCTATCTACTTTAAAATAGATATACAATAAATGCCTTCTGTTGCTAGCTTCATAGATCGATTTAATTGTTAATATATATGTGATATACAGACACACAATTCATTTTTTATAGTATAAGTACAAATGTTGTTTGAAAGTACTTGTAAAGATATATTTTAATTAGACTTGCAACGAATATTGTTACTATTGTATTTTGTTTTTATATATTGTAATACCAATATCTAAATATTCCAATAACAATACTTAAATAATATATTTTTATAAAAAAATTGTAAAATAAAAATTAAAATATTGCTTACGTATATATTTATATTTTTATTTTTTAATCATATATATAATGTACATAATAATAACGAGTAGTTAGAACAAAACAAGGACGCCAAAATTATTTAGTTTTTGGAAAATCCAGCCGAATACTTTTCTAATATTGACTTTGTAGGGTCTCCCAATATTCGTATTCGGTTTCAATATATTATTTAATTTAAAACATAAACATAGGCTTGCATTTCTTTTAATTATAGAAGCAACTCATTAAAAGTCTGCGTTCTACTTCTAAAGTGTTGTATCGTAGGTATACTTATAAAAAGATATATCCATAATTTTCACGTGAAAGTAGGTCGCGACTCCGTATAGAATACAACTCGATTTACGTCTGCGCAGATGGAATAAAAGAGCCACAAATCGACAATCGTAACCGAAGTGCGAATAGGAATACAGAAGGAGAACCCAATAAAACATTCGTGCCAAACGTAGATACGACTACGTCACGTAGACGCCTACCGCGAACGCATGCGTAGAACATTCGCACAGTACAAACGTACAGTTCCAATTTCAATTGTAGAAAAAAATAACCAATTCGAAATGGAGAAGGCTTCGCGGCGACCAATGGGAACGCGAACAGACGTCATGCCGACTGTGTGGGAGGAGCGAATGATATCTAGCATTGGAATGTGCCTCGTATTTGTTTTGCTCGATCCGAAGGCTTTATTGCTGAGTATTTGAGCCTCTTTCCCCTTGAGGAAGGCGCTGGCGGAAAGCCCGGTACGCTTTTGAGATGGGACATTCCACATTATGTACCTTAGTTCTGTTCGGCCTACGAATGATCTACATTTGGAGAATCTATTTACCTCAGAAAGCCTCCACTGGTACATGCATTGTAGTTGGATTTAATACCGGTTATACGTGCCTTTTGTAGAAAATCAACGCAGTGAAGTAAAAAAGGTCGTCGCCGTAAAGTGCTGAGAGACACAAAGGTATCTGAGAGAATTAGCCCTCGATACCAATAAAGAGTGTCTCTTTTCATTTATATATAACAGTGAGTATTGATTTTTCGATAGGGAAAAAACGAAGCCAACGATCTATGCAGATCTGGAGTGCTCTCGGCACATCAGATGGCACCGGCGGGGCAGCCTCCGCAGACAATCGAACGGAGGGGGGGCCACCCCCACTGGAGGTCGGAGAACAGCCACAGATTATTGCTAACACCACAGATGTATATTTCAGAGAATCGCTTATAGATAATGCCGAGCAATTTGACAGTAACTGGCCAATAAATTTAGGAACGAATATAAAGTTTCTTATGCATTTTGGCCACGAAGACGAGAACGAAATAAAAACATGAATTATTAATAATCTTCCAAAATATAAACTACTTTATTGTATGTTGTAAATAATGTCTTATTAAATCAATGAGTTACTATCAAACGGAACGATTGAAGCAGATTTTTACCGTATCAAACCACACACAAATTTCATAATTCTTTATTTGACCAACAACTATTCATCTACGTTTCAATAATATGTATAAATTATGCCGTATTTTTAAATATAGGGCGTGCTTATAACAAAACAATTTATAGCCACTAACTTACTATTAATCTAGAGTAATCCAAGTAAAGGATAGCACGAAATGGATTTCTGTTTCTGCCTTATCTTTGTCGATATCGACCCGGCGGCGGCGACTTCCCATTCTCGAAGTAAAACACGGCGGGAAGGAAACCGCGGGATAAACCGCCCCCCACCCGCCCCCCCGATCTTTACGTTTCAGGAATAAATATTTCAGAGCGTGTGCTTGGCAAGTTAAAGTTATGTATCGCCTACACTAGCGGTAACAATCCGAGAATGAGAAACGCTCCCACTTTTATGTAACTTGCTTTCTTAGCGTTGACTTGCTGGAGCGAAGTTTGTTCCTGTGGCAATTCCTTGCGAAATTATTTCCATATTTTCATGCTTCTGAATTTTTAAGATATGTGTCTACAACTATAGCATTTTATAAAAAAATATAGTAACTACTATCTTTCATCACAAATATAAATACCTATATGTATGTATATTTTTTTTGCGATAGAGCTTGGGGTTCACTCGAAAGAAGGTAAAGTACCCATATACCTAACATCTCGGCACGATGCCCTGTCGACCTATTTCAGTGTTGTTTATTCAGAAATCGACGGACTGAAACCGAAATGCGATTGAACTCGGTGGTCCGTGACCCTGTCGAAGTTTAGATGTCCCTTCATTGAATGTCAAGATTTTCAGACGAAGTCTAATATGTTACAGAAAAATTATTCATTGAAAAGTAAGATGATGGACCCTGAGGGAATCCTCCAGTGGTTTATTAGCATTCAGTGCTAACAATAGACCAACAAGCACGTCAAAAATAGTTTTTTTTTTCATCTTTTTCTATGAAAAATTTTATGATTATGACGGGGCTGAAAACGAACCACTGCAAAATATAACATTTTATTTTAGACCAATATAATTTAACACATTAAAATAAGACATATAATTATAATATACACATCGAAAACGCCTTAATTCGACATACCTGGATTCTGTAACATCAGTAGAATGCCGATGTTTCTGTTTTCCATAGTTTTGCTGAACAAATAAACATAGACATGCAACAGAAAAGTAAACCTTAACAGAAACATGTTATCATACTAACAGCTTATTAGAATGAATTAATATTAAGTGGATAGGAATACCGAAGTTCCGTCTAGGTCACGAATAACTGTGCAAAGACGGAAGAGTCGTGAAATAATCGCGTTTCGGTGTCAATCTGTGGATTTCTGAATATGCAAAGTCAAAATAATTCGACAGCGTATTTTGTTTAGACGTATACGGCTCAAGATCAAGTGAATTTGTTAATTAACCTCGTCATTTGAAACCTTTTTTAAATTTTCGTAGTCTATTAGTGTTCACCGCGTAACAATAATAACTAAGTATAAAACACAAGGCCCGGCCGTTCGCAACAGGAGGTATCAATTGTGGCAAATCAATCTCGCTATGGTAAGATGCAAATCAATAAAGGTACAGAGTTAATCAGTAAGAAGCAGGAGCGATTAGCTAACAAATGAAACGTGATCAAAGTTTTCCTTTAGCTCGCGCCGGTAGAGCAACTCACGTGCCCTTACGCAACAAATGATAAGACTTCACTCGCTGCTACTGTAGGTCAGTTCCAATTTTAAAATTCGCATGTTTCTATTTTAGTTATTCGCGAGTACAGTTAATTTTCCAAAATATTTATGACGCGTTCTAATGAAATATAGATCACGCTGAACAGTTTAAAACGCGAAATATGTTAATTAATTTATGTTGCGTTAAGTCGTTGTTTTATATAAATGAGCACTGGTCGCAAATATTACAGACTAACTTAGATACTTGCATAAAGATTGTTATACACTACAACACCGTAGTTAAAAATAGTGAATATCTACTTTGGAATACAAAAATAATCATCAAAATCGGTTGATCAACGACGAAGTTATACTTGCACGAACATAAATTGCAAATCGAATTGAGAGCCTACTATGTATTTCGGATAAAAATTAAAAAAATATATATTTGAAATTAACAATAAAACCGCGATCAATATGTGTATAAAAATAAGCTTTCTATCACGGTAAAGCTTTTAATGTGACATATATATATACGATTTGCTATTAGGAACAAATATTTCTTGTTTCCTTTTGCAATAATAAAAATATATGTTTTTAAAATGGACGTCTCAAAAACTGCAGTTTCAAACTTAAATTTATATTTTTTCAAATTATTCCCTTTAAATAAATGTGTGTGTTGTTTTAATAAAACTTTTATTATAATCGTAAATATATAAATAAAAGAGACTCACCACTTTTATGAATTATTATATGTGCCAAACCCAATAAAATTCAACACACACACACTGCCGTTCAAACTGATTGAACGTAAGAAATCGAATCGTAGAAAATCTTGACTCATGTGACGTATTAGTAGGTAAGAACAATACTTATATGCGCGTCGCGTATCTAATTATTACGATTCGAACATAAATCCAATGTGCGACAATTGCGCTGGCGCATTTCGTAGATTTGCGTCTGTGCTTACTATGAGACTAACGTATAAACATTTGTAGTGATGATGTAGGTTGTATTTTACTTATATTGTTTACTGTGACAGCGACTTCGTTCGCGTAGTATAGTTATTTTGGACATCCAAATTAGTTTTTGCAAACCCCGTCATTTTTATAAACGTAAGCTGTTAGCCACGACGTCGATCGCGTCCCTTCCCGTCGTTCTTGCAAGTTAATATTAAAATATAGACATATGGCGTCGATTTTTTTTTGGATAATTTATTATCTTTTATTATTATTATTTTTGATTTATTAGATTTGACAAATATAGGTATAGTGGGAATTATAAAAAGGATTAACAAAGTATAATTCCCTTACTATATTGGCACATTAAAATGTTATTCTGAAATAATTAAAACACTAATTTTTAAATATTTTTATGGTTTAATAGATATTATTTAATATGTTTTAACTACGAATGTTAAAAGATATATTTCAGCAGCCGTAGTGGTTCTTTGGTATTCATTATAAAGCCTTCTAACTCTCAAACATAATGAACAATATGTATATGTTTTGTATATTAGAATAAAACGAATGAACGTTATAATTGAAGTGGGTCAAGCCAATGGTACTAACTACTAATGATTGATATTTTAGTTCCAGTAGAGGCCATTCAAATAGTTGCTCACTCGGTAATCGATATATAAGTGGAGCAAAGCAAAGTTCGTATTTGATTGCATAATTGCGTTTGCGCTATTATTATTATACGCAGGAAAATATTTCCGTTATATACGTTCTTATGGCCATTATTGATTCTAAATGCGTCGTAGAATTCCATTGAATTGTGGAAGCCCTATGGAAAATGTATTTGTTTTGTTGATATTGCAAGAAAAAACTTTAACCGTTTAAAACGCAATATATATTGGTTAAAGTTTATAAATTATTTTAACTACGGGGCGACGTGCTTTTCAAATAAATTTAACTAATAAGTATCGCGTTTTAAACAGTTAAAGTGTTATATTTAAATGTGTGTACTAGCGTTTACTACAGACAGTATTTGTTTTGTTAATGTTTTACGCAATTTACAGGTAGACAATACTTAGTGGTAGTAGATGGAGATTTTCAAAGCCTTTCTGGAATAACGCTGCCTAATGCTTGGTATTGTACCTACCACTAAGGCGAGTCTGTTTGTGTTTTTACTAATTTGATAATTTGTTATTAAGGTGCTTAAAAAATGCTTGAATTGTATCTAGATAAGATCGGCATCTAGTTCATTGTTATCATAAATGATAATAAAAATACTTAAACCGTGTTTCATTTACGAGTTCTATTAATTTATTTGAATATAACTATTTAATTAATTTTTCAAATCGCTTAAACATTGTATGATTTGTTAGAAAAAGATTATGTTCTAAATAACAAACATACCATAATATACGCTGTTTAGTTTATATCTTCACAATTTTTTATAATTTTATATTTCTGATTATTAATGTTACCGGCTGTTGTTGACTCTGTAGCCAAATGGTTAAACGTATTGCCGAGCATTGCGTTAAGCGCAAGGGGGCCTGGGTTCGAAGTCTGATCAACTGCTTGCCCGTTAAAAGAACGGATCAGTGAAACGGACACAGAAATGTATTCGCCCCATGCCCCACGAGGGGGAAACGGGCTTTCACTTCTTTTTTATTAATTGTTATATAAGCAGATGGATCTTAGACCATCTCAATGTAAAATGTTTTTTAAATACATATTTATACATTTTCGTGTGCGCCAAAATGCAAAATTAAGAATTCATGACTTGTCTATTGTCAATGGTGTTCCAGTGGTGTTGTAAGAGAAAAAAAAATTACTAATGTTCTCTATGACATAAGGAAAGACATCCGTGTTATATATTATTTGATTTCATCATAAATTCAATATTATGATGACTCCAAAGTATTTATTTTCAACTGACTTGCATTACACTTAATGCAAATATTACATAATTACACAATATTTATTTTTATTTACACATACAGCTAATACATGTATGAATCAACTTCTAAAGTCGAAGAAGGATACACAATTCCGAATTGCTGAATACTTGCGTAGCAATACCAAAAAAAAATTGCTCCCTCGAATTTAACACGGAAAATTATATATAGGGGAATGTAATAACAAAAATTTGAAACAAGTGACGATTGTATTGAGATACAATCGTCACTTGTCTCAAATGTCAAGTAAATGATTCTAGTATGAAATTGTGACAGAGGCTGTTAGTTGGATAGCCTAAGCGGCTGGTCAAAATGCCC